TTTTTCATTCTTAAATGAAGTAAATATGAAAAGTAAGGCAAGACAGGTGAACTCTCGGCCTACATTAGCAAGAGTTTGCTCACGAGGCTATTCCAGTAAATTCTCTTGGTGGAGACAAAAGACAGGTTCTATGTCCCAGACAGCTTACAGCAGTTCCACAAAACAGGAAAAACCCTGCTCTGGAAAAGGGATGTTTTTGCCAGTATAATTCTGTCTACACTAGGGCTTTACTGGAAGAGTTATGTCAGTCAGGATGTGACAAAAACATATTTACGTAGTAAATGGAGCTTTCAAGCAGCAGGGATAAGCTTCCAGAAGAAACTGTCAAAGAGTTCTACAGCCCTAATCCTGGCTTGACCGGCACGGTGTACATTTCTAATGAAGAAAACTAAACCATAGAAAAAGTGCCAGGTTATAAAAAGCTCTAGAGAAAAATTATTGAGAGACGATATTCAAAAGCACAGCAGCAAATGACCCTTTTTGATCCAGAGGAAAAGCAGGAAATAGTTTTAAAGACTAAATCAGCTCCAGTGAGTTGTCCTCTATTGACTTAAAAATCCACAAGTAATTGACCCTAAACATGAAAACAAGTGCACACAGCTAAGCCAGGGATATTGGATGGGTATTAAAGATATATATATATCAGAACTGGATGGCATATATATCAGAAAATCTAAATCTTAACTGAATTGCAACTCACAAGAGATATACCAGGAAATAAGAAGAGCTTCTATAAATACAGCAGAGGGAAAAGAAACATAAATGAAAGTACAAAACAATTAGCAATGAGGAAAAAATGACAAAAGATGAAACCGAGAAGGCTGAATTTAATTTCTTCTTCGCTTGTATTTCCCCCACCCCTCAAGGGTTAACTGTAAGTAGAGAGCAAGGAACAGGACCAGGAAAAGAACAGGCCTATCATTTAATCCTCACTCATTTAGTAAGCCATAATATATTAAACAGTTTGAGAGAACATTACAAATAATGCATGAGTTGACAATACAGATAGCAACTATACCAAACGTGAGTTAAAACCTCAGTTGTGCTGATAGGAAATATCAAAACCCCTCAGAAATAAGAAAGTACAGATCAGTAAGAAATCAACCAAAACTTTCCTTAGGCAGGGTCAGAAAGCCAGCCTCCTCATCAGTAGCTAATACGGAAAGAGATAACCTTATGTGAAACTGTGAAAACTGTCCAATGAACAGCTGGGCTTACCCGACACAGGCTAAGATTATTTATCTCATACAGCTTCAGAAAATTTTATGATGGCAGTGAGATGAAGAAGGAAGATTTTGGTCTGAGAGAGCATTGCCTTCACACTGAGCTTGCCTTTGTGCTGAGCTTCTCATCTGTGTATCTAATCTCCTGTTACAGTCAGTGGAGACCCCGTTCAATTCACCCTGCTTGGACGCAGGTCACTACTGCCACTGGAGATGCCCTAGGGTTTCCCACCACTTCCAGCTGCCAGCCTGGAAAGATACAGACCCCCAAAGGTCCTCTGTGGTATCTGCCATGCCATGCAAATATACTGACACATCAGATGGCACATATTGCCTCTTAAATCTTAACTCTCCATCCCCTATATGTGGAGGAGAAGTCTCTCACTCACACCTAGACATCTGATGGAGGCAGTACATTTAGGTGTCAATCTGGAGTTGGGTACTGCCCTTCATCTCTGACCTTAGGTAAAACTGGTACGCCATTCTGCTTTAAGTCACCACCTGCCAGGGATCCTAGTATTTCTGTATAAATATTTGTTCTATTTTTTTCTTTTAAGTTTTGTTTTCTCTCCTCTTATCCTTTTTAACTTCAGATTCTATATTACTTTCACATATTACTTCTTCATGCTTAATTGTATTGTACTGTTTTCTCTTCACACACAGTCTTACCCATTTATGATTTTAGGCAAAATTCTGTTTGCATACAACTTTGAGAGCACAGTTTCTACAGGGCAGAGTCTCTGAAGTCTTACTTCCTGTTCATGGGGATTAACATGTAAAATAATGTTTAGATAAACTGGATAAATTTGCATCAGCTAGACTCAAACAATTCAGATCCGACATACAGCTCTCTACCAAAATCTCCTGGGTAATAAAGTCCCAGCAGAAGGGAAAAAGGCAAACATTGCTGCTATCTACAAAAAAAAGGAAAGGAAAGGAAGGGACAGAGGTTACGGACAAATCAGCCTATCCTGAATGCATTCCAGGATAAATTATTCTGTAAGTACAGAAGCATACAAAATAGTTAACACGGTTTGTCATGAACAAACAGTACCAAACAAAAATACTCTTTTTTCTGACAAGATAAACAAGCCTGGAATATTAGAGGAATGCAACAAGTGGGATACAGCTTGATCTTAATGTGGTGTTTGACTTTGTCCTACCTGATGTTCCTCAAAGGCTAACCAGGAAATATTGTTTATATTAAATCAGCTGTACATGGTTGCAGAACCAGGTCCAGGTGAACCTGAGCATCATTACAGGTGTTCCACAAAGTTTTGTGCCAGGTCCATTATCTTCCAGCAATTTCATTAATGAAGTCAAAGATTTAAAAAAAAAAAAAACACTTTTAAAATTGTAATCTGGGAGCGGGGGCAAACATTTACAAACCTAAATGGCCTCATAAACCTGAGAAATGTCTAAAATCAACACGAAATCAATGAAACGTGTGTAAAGTGCTCCACCAAGGAAGAAAAAAGAAAAGTACAGTTACAAAACAAGTCCATCTGGTTAAGCAGCAGCACAGCAGAAAAGGATCTATTGGAACCACAGCTGGACTGAAGAACAGTTGGAGGGCTAGACAAAAAAACATACAAATGTCTCCCTGGAGCATGGAAGCCCATTCTGCCCAGTGTTCAGAGCTTCAGTTAGAGCGGCATAACCAGTATAGGGCATCACACTTTAAAAATTATGCATCAAGTCAGAAAGTCTTCAGAAAAGAAAGACAAGCAGATAAAATACTCAGAAAAAAATATTATACCAAACTATTCAAATCTGTGGTGTCCATCTACATCACCAGAAAGCCACTAGTTCAACAGTAACTGATAAAACCTCACATTCACTTGCAATCCAAATACAAAAAGGATGAAAACTAAACCAGACAGAAATCCATTGCCTGTTATGAGAAGCAGTAGCTTCAAAACCGTAAGATTTTCCTCTTAAAACGTCTCAAACTGGCTTTCTGAGCCAACCTCTGGAACACATCCCCTTGCACTCGTAATTCTTCCCTCGCTAGATGTGCTTGCCAGTGCAGGATCTCACATCTGAAGTCCAGCAGACCACCTACATCTCCCTGAATAACATGTAAGCTTTTATCAGCAGAGTTTCTGCCAGTGGATTTGTATTTATACTAGGAGATTTTGTCAGTCTCGTGGGCTGGGGAGGAAGGGAGAGATGAAGGGGCAGGACTTGTGCTTGCATGTGATCTTTTGGTTGTTTATATGCACAGCTCTATCTGAGAGGGCTACACCACCATTACCCTGAAGATGTGACCATGGTTATGGTCAGGCAAAAGCAGAAATGCCTGTGAATTGTTTTCAGCCGCCATTCAAGCTATATGGCCTTCAAATCACCGTGCACTGAGGAGTGATGCTGAGATGATACCCTTCTGTTAGTTTTGCTGTCACGGTGGCAAACTCCAGTTGATAGGAATAAAGCAGCAGTTGGGTAAGGCCAAAAGCAAAGGCTCCTATCTGAAACTGCCACGTTATAGCCACCTGTGGCCTAGGCTTCACCTCCAGGCAGGCACCATCATTACTTCTAAGACATCGGAAAGAGCAAACGCAAATCTGTCTGTGATGGTGAAGCTTAGTCAAGATTCCCACAGCACACCACTTCTAGCACCCCATTGTTACAAAGTGGATGTTTGGATCACCAGTTTTTATAAACACAAGGAAAAAAAGAGTCATAGAAATAAGGCAACGCTCACAGGAACACAGTGTGGAACAATAACAGAGCCATCTTTGAAGTTTAGGAGAGAGAGACCAACCATAGAGTCACCTAATTAAATGAAAACATCTGTGTCTAACCAAGTATCTAAACCTGAGCTAGCTGACATGCGCTCCCTTTATTGGCAATGGATATGTTTTCAACTGAACCTCAGGAGAAATTCATCTCACCCTAATGTAGATGGGCAAAATAGACGAACTGCACTCCAGAAAAGGCTACTTCTTCTTAGATTGTGAAGGCAGCCTGGGATAAAAGGATTTGGTTTAGATATGTAAAAGTTAAGTGAAATTTCACCCTGCACGTGCAGGGACAGTATTAATGAAGAACATCGAAACCAAAAGAGAAAGGAAAAAATAACAATATTAGAAAAGAAACCAGGAGCTCAGTAACACTGGTTAATAAAATATTAAGGTGAGGAACTACTGCTAGAACTTAGCACAACTGTCTTTTACCTGCTAATGTTGATTTGATAAAAAACATTTACATTTGCAAAGAGTTTGTTAGTCCCGGTAAGGTCTACAAAATTAATCCAAGTGCCAAGCTTGGAGAAAAATTATATGATAAAACAAAAATTGAGAAGTTAATTGAAACTTCCATAGTCCTCTCTGTCTATTTTAATTATTAGAATTTAGATTATAACACGTCAAAGAAAGGACAAAATATTAGGTCACATTACTTTGTTTTGCGAAGTGTTGAAAGAGAGGGTAAATGGAAAACTATGGCTTCTCTGAGCTATAATATACTGGTTTAAGCAAATACGTCTACATTTCATGGTACGTACAGAGGTATGGTTATTGAGTTGTTTCACATGCTATAGTAAATGCTTCACAGAATACTTCAATGTAATTTTTAGCTGCAACTGATGATAACAGAGTTCCATAAAACTATGAAAAGATATTAATGATTAATTTAGGAAACTGATGTCAAACTGCAGCATGATAAATGTAACTTGCTGTGCGCACTACTTAGAGCCAAAGACAGTTGGGCTTTTTTTGTTGGATCTTATAAATACATGTAACTCTGCAAAAATGTACTCTTTCTCAAACTTACCACTGGTGACTCTCGGCACTGCTGGCATCCAGC